GTGAGTGGTTTTTCTAAGATAGAACACCAACAGTAAACAGAGGACAAGAGGAGGACAAGGCCTGGACACGGAGCCCAGCCACAGAGGAGGACAACCAGCCACAGATTTCAAGGGCGCGGTGAGTGAGTGTGGCCAGCTCTGTTTTTCTAAGATAGAACCCCAATAGTAAACTGCTTGGGGAAAAAACATGAACAACGTTTTTTCCTGCGAGACAGTTGACGGTGGTTGCTTCGCTTTCGCTCCATCGGTCGGTTCCAACTTGTTTTGTCAAAGAACATCGCAGCTCGGTGAATCAGCCTGCCACATGCCCATTTACCATAGGTTTATTCTTTTGGAAACTTCCGCCGCCGGCTTGCCCGGGAACTACTTGTATACTTTGATGTTCTGGTGGTTTGCTATTGTGTTAGGCTAGTTACACGTATTGTTAACTACATCATAACACATTTGCAATAGGGTTATAACTACTTATAACAAGTTACAATTGCCCTAAAGGCTTTATATTATCATCATTTTTCAAAGCTAATAACTAAAGGAAAATAATTGTTATGCTAATTTCATTAATGAACTTATTTTTTAGGACAATTACTATTTTTGATAAAAATAAACAAAATTAGCACAGTTGACATACACTTTAAAAGTTAAAAATTGACTAAAGAACATGTTGTATGTTTATGTTGCCAAGGTTAGAGCAAGCCTTTGTCTACAGGCTCCAGATGCTTCAGACTCTACAGGCTCAAGTTGTTTCAGCCTCTGCAGGCTCAGGTTGCTTCAGCCTCTACAGGCTCAAGTTGTTTCCGCCTCTACAGGCTCAGGTTGCTTCAGCCTCTGCAGGCTCAAGTTACATCAGCCTTTGCAGGCTCAAGTTGCTTCAGGCTTTTGTACAAGAGGAGATCCTGTGCAGGATCAAGTTGAGTTGGTCTGCGCATGCTCAAATGGGTTTATGCATTGCAGCCTGCCACAATGGCATTGTAACATTTTGTGGGGTGGGCAGCTACATACAATGAAAAGGTGAATGTGTTGAAGAGACAACCAACCACAACATAAGAACACAAGGGACAACCAACCACAACATAAGAACACATGAAACACAAACAGCACAGCATATGTAGGTGCTTTGTTCATGAACTTTTAGTGTTTGCACACCATGGCTCTTCCTTGGGTGGTGGAGCTCAAGAAGATTTTGAATGACAATGAGATGGGCATCAACCAAAAGGCTGCAAAAGCCTTGGCAGGGTCGCAGCAAGCAGGACTTGCATACACCACAGTCTTGAAACCAAAAGAAGTCTTGATCCATCCTTCGAATCGAGGAGGACAGATGCGCAACCACTTTGATGTGATTACAAAAGGAAAATCCCTCTGCCAGGTAGGGTGGAGCCTTCAGAAAGTGGGGCCTTCAGTATGCGTGGAATTGCCCATTGAGAGCAAGAAGAGATCACAAATCATTGAGTGCAATGAGACTCTTGTATCCACTTCTGGTGGCATGCTTCCCATGCCAAGTGGCAAGGAAAGAGTGTGCAGCCTTTCCACCAGCCACACCTGTACATTCCTTCGATGTCTAGAGAATGGATGCAAAATGGATGGTGGTGATGACCTTGCAGGTGGCTCCCATCTTTCACTAGAGCAGCTGATTGCCAAAGGTGATGATCTTGGCAGAATGCTCACAGAAGGGTGGGAAGGGTGCGTGGTCAAAGCGCAGGTCGAAGCTGAGGTGCCTGACTTCTGTTGCTTTTTGCAGGCTGCATACAATAGTAACTCCTTGGACACTTTGATCAGAACACTTTATATGGTTTAGCTTTATGTGTGCTGAACTGGTTGTATGCGCAGCGGTGTCCACCACACCATCCAAGGTGATCATGCCATTGTCAAACCTCCAAATGAACTGGAGGTTGCAATGACAATTGCTCACATCTTCCAGATGCAGCCTGCAGACAAGAAGGATCTTGCAAAGCCAGTTGCCCAAGCTGCTGCAGGGATGCCTCCATGCAGAAGCTACATCAAGAGCATTGGGGACTTGGTAGCTTCCTATGCTGGTGGTGAATCCTTCCAGCTCTTGAGGTGCTTGGACTTCATGTGTTGCTCAGTGGCATTGATGCAAAAAGATGATACCAGTGCAGGGCTCTGGTGGTGGTGGAAGAAGGGGCTGGATTGGAGAAGATGGATGGACACCACTGAGCTTTGGCGTGTGGTTTGAACCTGTGCCTGCGCATGCTCATGTTTGTAAATGATATCAATTTGAAGCCTGTGGAGGCTCAGTGGGGAATTGTTTATGTTTGTAGCTTCAATTTTGAAGCCTGTGGAGGCTCAGTAGTGTATTGTTAATGTTTGTAGCTGCAATTTGAAGCCTGTGGAGGCTCAGTGAGGTATTGTTCATTTTTGTAATTGCAAAAATTATGTATTGATAGTTGCTTACAATGCTATCTAAGGACCCAGAGAACAAGGAATACTCAGGTTGGCAAAACAAAGCCACAGCTTTGGTGCATATGTGGAAGGTGGGTGAGGATGGTGGGCTCGACAGAGCCTTGGGCAGGCTGCATGATCACCATTCATTGCAGCAAGGGCTCAAAGAGCTACATGGAAAGTACAAGAAAAAGGGGCGTGAAGTGTACAAGAGGTACATCTGACAACCTCCTCTGGCCTGGTGTTGAAAAAAATGTGTGTTGTGCATTGTGCAGCCTGTACAGGCTTATCGTTGCGCAGGCTCAGCATTTATATGCTCCTGTTGATCATTGGGCCTGTAAAGGCTGCTGTTGTGCATTTGAAGGCTGATGTTGTATAACATGTTAAAAATATTGGTACTGAAAATTCCTAAAGTTTGATCTATTTTTTGCTATTTATCAAATACAACCATATAATTTTTTATTGTCTAAATGTCATGGACTTTTGATTGTTTATTGAATTCAGACAAATTGATTCAAATCCCAAATATTAAAATTTGAATTCAAGAAATTGAATTCTAAAAACTGAATTCAAATTCAAACTTTTTAGATTTCAAATTCAAAAATTTTAGATTTGAATACAAAAATTAGATATCAAATTCAAAATTTCGAGATTTGAATTCAAAAAATTGAATTCAAATTCAAAATTTCGAGATTTGAATTCAAAAATTTGAATTCAACATCCAAATTTCGAGATTTGAATTCAAAATTTTGAACTCAAATTTAAAGTCATATATTTTTTGCTTTTTTGTTTACATATAAGTTTAGACTCTTTTGGAAAGAAAACAAGGCTCTTTTGGAAAGTGAGGAGATGTCCAGGTATAATTCTGTGGCGCCTCATCTGGAAGAAGGTCGCAAGAGAGGATCATCGATATCTGCCAAGGAAGGTGAAAGAGTGCAAATCTTTTATGTCAACTTCCTTTCTCTGTTGGCAGGTGTCTTTTACAAAAATGGTGCGTTTGCAGAGTATACGCTCAAGCTGCACAGCCTCAGGCCGACTCTGCGTATATTGTGATGAAATACATCCAGGGAACATCTTGAATAGTTCTGGCCGCAAGGCCTGGTGCTGCTATGTTAGCTTTCTTGAATTTACAACCATGCGTTGCAAAGAAGACTTGTGGTTCACATTGAGTATAATCAGGACAGTGCAAGCTTCCAAGGTGTCAGCTGGAATGTCTCAGATTTTCTTCAGTCACTCCACAGACAGGAGTTCTCTTGTCCAGTGACAAAGGCAGCGTGCGATTGTACTTTACATTGTCAATGGTTCTTCAAGATGGTGCGGTGCTGCCCACAAAGCTATTTGGATGTGTCGACAAGATGTAGGGCCCAAGCCCTGCATGCTTTGTGCGAGCAAAGGTATTGGTGGTGATGAAATTGAAGAAAAATCTTGTATAAGTTTTGCAAGCAAAGCCTCTAGCGATGCAGAAATTGTTGATTCTTGGAACAGAATGGCTGAGAGATTCAATGTGCTTTCACAGGTGGAGTTCAACCAGTGGCAGCAGGCCACAGGGGTATCTTTCAGTCCACATGACCTTCTGTCAAGCAGTACTTTGCAGAGTGATGGTTTATTGCTTCCTGCCAGCCGGTATTGCCAAGACTATATGCACACAATTTGCTCAAATGGCATCATGGTTGACGCAATTTATCTGGTCTTGGAGGCTCTTTTCAGTGCTGGGTGCAATGCATGGGGCTTGTTGGGCCAATGGTTGTCTCTATGGGTTCTTCCAAAAAGCCAGCAAAGCTTTGACATTCCCAAACTCTTTGATGCACAAAAGGTGACCAACTACAGAAAGGATAAGGGCTTCAAGTGTTCAGCTTCAGAAATGCTGACACTCTACAAGCTTCTTCAGTACTTTTTGGAGGTCATGTACATGAACAACAGTTGCATGGTCAAGGAGTGTAGAGTATTCTTCTCAAATGATGCAAGCAATGGCGAGATGTGGCAAGGCATTGCATTTTCTGTTTGCGCTTGATGTGCCATGCGTGCTGCTGAATGAGGTCAAATTTGTGGAGCAGAAGACAAAGACAGCCACTGTCTGGGAAACTTGTGACCAAAAGCAGTTGCTGCCACTCCAAGATGTCTTGCAGCCAGTGGTGCACAACTTTGGAAAGAATGGCAGGGTGACCTGCCTTAAACCTGCTCCTCTGTTTGACAAGTGAAAAAGCTGAGTCTTTGCAGTCAACATGGCCATTGCAGGCTTTGACTTTAGCCTCTACAGGCTCAAGTGTTTAGCCTCTACAGGCTCAAGTGTTTTTTTTATGTTTTCCAAACATATTTTTTAAAAAGACTTGTTGTACATAGTGTTTTTGTGAAATTGTTTATTTCAAAACTATCGCCCAGACCAAAGAAATATCCACAATGGAAGTATATCTTAAAACAAAATGAATATGTTTTTTTGTATTTTAATGATACATTTTGAACTAGTTAGGAATTACTTAGCTAACTATGTTAATGTCCATAACATATAAGCAAACCACCAGAACATCAAAGTATATTATATCATATATAGAGATAGAATCCTGTAACTCTGCAAAATGCAATCCAAATCGACAAGGACGCCTCGCCTTTGAGACAAATTTTGGTACGTAGCCGTGCTCGGTGTCGGCGACCTTTCGTGCCAAAAGAGTCGCGCCGTGAGATTGCATGAGTCGCTGAGTGTCGCAAAGTCCTTAAGGCCGTGCCACATTCATAGAGCAAAGCTGTGTTGGAGCCGCAGAAATGCTTGCAAACCACTCTTCCCCATCCATGAGAAGCCACTGTGTATCAATACTCACCAAAAGTACAATTGACTAAGCGGATACTACTGCACCCCAAAACCACAAGGCACGCCCAAGCAAAGCACGACAAAAAGATAATAAACATTAACACTGGAAAAAGGAACTACGGCTAACCAGGACCTAGGAAGAAAGAAAAATAACAAAAGCAATCAAAAAAATTAAGAAAGGACCAACACTCAAAGAATTTTGCCTGAGCCCGCGCGGTCAGACGGATGACAAAGCCAATCAAGTTGTTCACCTGGAAAACTGGCAAAACCGGTCCGATGCAAAAGACAGATTTCTTTCCAACACAAAAGGCCTGAAATTGTCTCACATGAATGTTATTGATGTTTGGAGGATTTTGGAGGTCTTGCAGTTACACATTCAATCTCAATACTTCTGAGGGTGGAACTTGAGTTTGCTTGGATGCTGCTACCTGCTGCAGAAAGCAAAAGGCACAGCCGGCAGTCAGGCGTCATAAGCCACAAAGATACAATTACGACCGCGCTACAGAAAAACACATGCTTTTCAAGTTTTTTTGCATCATTATTATCCCGGCAAGAGACCCCAAAGAGTGTGTGTGAGGTCCGTAAGCAGAAAGTCTAGAGATCTAGACGCATTGGGGTCCAGAGGGGTGATGGCGGTGATGAAGTGAAGGTGGGTGTGAGTGAGTGTGGATGAGAGGGAGTGTGAGTGTGAGTGAGAGGTGTGAGTGAGAGTGAAGGTGGGTGCGAGTGAGTGAGAGAGTGAGTGTGAATGAGAGTGCGAGAGTGAGTGAGAGTGTGGGTGAGTGAGAGTGAGTGTGGGTGAGAGCGAGACTGAGAGTGAGTGTGAGTGAGAGTGAGAGTGAGAGTGTGAGTGAGAGTGAGTGCGAGTGTGAGTGAGAGTGAGTGTGAGTGAGAGTGAGTGTGGGTGAGAGTGAGACTGAGAGTGAGTGTGAGAGTGAGAGTGGGTGAGTGAGGGTGAGTGAGTGAGAGTGAGTGAGTGAGAGGTGTGAGTGTGAGTGTGAGTGTGAGTGAGTGTGAGTGAGAGTGAGGGTGGGTGTGGGTGAGAGTGAGAGTGAGTGTGAGCGGGAGTGCGAGAGTGAGTGAGTGTGAGTCCGGGTGTGAGTCAGAGTGAGAGTGAGAGTGAGACTGAGTGTGGGTGTGAGTGTGGATGAGTGAGTGTGCGTGTGAGTGTGAGTGTGAGTGTGAGTGTGAGTGTGAGTGAGAGTGAGAGTGAGAGTGAGAGTGAGAGTGAGAGAGTGAGAGAGTGAGTGAGTGAGTGAGTGAGTGAATGAGTGAGAGGTGTGAGTGTGAGTGTGAGTGAGAGTGAAGGTGGGTGTTCACCAAGTGTGCGCCTGCCACGAAATCTGCAACTTGAGGTTCACCAAGCGCTGCGCCTGCCACGAAATCTGCACTTCGAGGTTCACCAAGTGCTGCGCCTGCCACGAAATCTGCACTTCCAGGTCGACCAAAGCGCTGTGCCTGCCACGAAATGTGCATTTCGAGGTTCACCAAGTGCTGCGCCTGCCACGAAATCTGCACTTCGAGGTTCACAAAGTGCTGTACCTGTCACGAAATCTGCACTTCAAGGTTCACCAAGTGCTGCGCCTGCCTCTAAATCTGCACATCGAGGTTCACCAAGCGCTGCGCCTGCCACGAAATCTGCACTTCGAGGTTCACAAGGTGCTGTACCTGTCAGGGTTCACAAAGTGCTGCACCTGCCACGAAATTTGCACATCGAGGGTCACAGAGTGCTGTGCCTGCCATGAAATCTGCAAACGAGCCACATGTCCAAAAGTTACGAATCACTGCGCCTGTCACGAAATCTGAGCTCCTTGACGATCACCACCATGTCCAAAGTGCTGCACCTGCCACGAAAACTGCATTTTGAAGTAAAACAGCTCCGATCCCTTGCGCCTGTCATGAAAAGTCGACCTTGGAGCACCAAAGCACGAGGTTTCCCTTGCGCCTGCCACGAAAAGTGACCACCATGTACCAAAATGCGCGCGGCGCCACAACGAGAGCGCCGTGGCGACAAGCACACGCTCCGGCCACCCAGATTCTGCGAGCCTGCGCAGTCGAAATGCACATGGACGATGTCGAGAGGCATGAATGTACTGTAAATAGCAGCGAATCAGCCGCACACGCCCGCGCGCTTCAGCGATCTAAGCATCAGCTGCTTTTCTACTACCGTAAGAACCCCTCAGTGTGCCCACACTGTTTGGGGAAAAATACTTTTTTGAACAAACAACACTGCTTGTCATTTTTTGTTTGTCAGTCATTCTGGAGTCTGGACTATATAGTGCCGCCTCGGCCAGCCGAGGAGATAAAGCCACAAGCAGCTCCCCCAGCATGATGCCTGACCCATCAAGGAAAGACCACATGGCAGTGCTGCTGCAGCGATGGCTCTTGCAAAACCTAAGTCTTCTATACCTGGATGAGAACCAAATCAACTCCACGCAATTCAGCGTTTTGTAGATGACTATTTATATAACATATATATATATACGAGGACAAACTGTGCAAGGACAGGTCCATGGAGTCCATGTATATTGGCCACTCTGGATAAACTGAGAACGAGTTGGGAATTGGCTGGTTGTTTCTCTTTTGCCAACAACCAGCAATACAACCAGCCAATTCCCAACTTGCCCCCTCTTGCCCCGACAATACAAATCTCCACTGTCTACAATCTACAAGTGCTTCACTTCTAGAAAAATCAACGAATGAGCTATGGTCAAAACTCAGTAGAATTGGATATAATTGGTATGGTCATCCCATCCCTTATAATGGTTCTTATAAATCCCTATTGACCAATGGATGACCATACCCTACTAATGGTTGACAACCCCCAGTTTTGACCATGGCTCAAATAGTGGCCAGTATGTGCAAGCAACAAGTCAATCTCTCTGCCAAGCAACCAACAGCTGCATCCGTGTCAGAAAGCAACCTTCAAACTGTGGCTTTGTTCAGCAAAACATTGACCATTAATCAGGGCAAACGAAGAATCCCATTTCAGTTGGCATTGATGCAAAAAGATTGCGAGCAAGCTAGAGGCTGTAGCCATTGGGGTCTACAAGTGCTCAGATAAAGGTCAAAGTTGCTGGACTTTCTCCCTTGTTCGCAATGGCTGAGACCGAACAAGCAAGAGGGTTCTGTCTTAAAGGCTTGAAATGCAACAAAGTGGCGGCTGGACACCTTCCACAATACCGCTGGCCAAAAGGCTGCCTGGAGAGGACAGGCTTACACGTATGTAGCGTAGCGAAGTGAGCTTCAGCTTCAACCAACCCAAAGCATTCTTCACTTCAAGCAGGAAAGAAAACACTGCACACTCAACAAACGAAAATACTGCATGTTTGCGCTGCATCCTTTCCATGTGGCACCTGCCTATTGAGCGACCTAAACCTTGTCAGGTCTTACCTCCCTGCCACAAGCCACTTACCCCAACAGTGAAACATATTGAAACACATAGGTCTTTAGTCTTTTCTAGACTAGTTGGCAAATACATCTGTCCTGCTCCTCTAAGGCCATGTCAAGAAAATATCCACCCAAATCAATCACTTCGGCAAATTTCCAACCTGCAAACTGTCGCAGCACCAAAAGCGCAGCGAGCCGCTCCTCGCGGTGGCCCTTTGCCTCCAAATGAATCAATTCCTTCACGCTTGGAGCTATCCTGCGTCCCAAGTAGTAGCTACTTGCAGGTAGTAGCTACCTCTTCTAACAGCTACCTACCTAGCTAACCTACCTCCTAGCGGCCTACCCCCCCCCCGACCTGCCTTCTGCAATAAAAAGTTCAAGCTCTCCGTCCCAAAGTTCTCAGCCAAAACATCCATGCACCGCAAGAGTTCAGCCTCAAAAAGAAACCGCCAAATGACACATTGCTTGATGGAGCTCTGTTCAGGTTGGGATGGACAATGAGCGCACTGTGCTCAAAGTGGAACTATGTGTGTGATCCTTATTTAGCTTTGAAAAGTCACTGGAGTCACTGGGGTGGGTAGTTGCGAGCCTCCAAAGTCCGCGACCTTACGGCCTATACAAATAGTTTCATCTGCCCAAAAAGGGGCACACCCGTATCCAACTACTCATGTTGTAGAAGTAGTCAGTGAGGCCGTATCAAGAAACAGTTTGGCTACATTAAATTTATCAGTCCTCTAGTCCGATCTTTTCCGCCAACTAAGCATTAGCTGATGCCTTGAGGGGATTTCAGCATCTTTCATACTTTACAGCGTCTCCTCAGAACTTTGCTTGCTTTCGTAAATGTTTGAGAGACCATTTGATATTCAACTGTTTCTCTGAAACTAGTTGTTGTTGCTGATGTTGTCGTCCGGAAAAGAGCACTTGGCTTATTGCAGGGCCTCAGGAATTACAAGCTAGCAGTGATACGCTTCGCAGTCTACCTCTAAATGCGCAAAACAACAAGGTCCGCAACTTGCTTCACTATGTTTGGACTGGACCCCTTGCATGTTCCCAGTTCGTGGAGTATGTTTGAAAACCCTTGGCTAATTAGCAGTTCACACAAACACTGGCCCATAGAAAGGGAGCAAGAAGCACCCCAAATAGATAACGGGCTGCTGTGGGGCCTGCGCATTCTACAGGGTCTGGTTTCCCTTAAAATCTCTAGGGGCCAGAAGCTACGAACATCTACGAACGGGGCTTTGGGCGTACTACTAGGAGCAATTAGCTACTAGTAACAAGGACGCTACTAGGAGCAAAGGGCATCGCTACTAGGAGCAAGGACGCTACAGCTCATGGCTGTACTACTAAGAGCAAGCAGCTACTAGTAACAAAGACGCTCCTAGGAGCAAAGGGCATCGCTACTAGGAGCAAGGACGCTACTAGGGG